TGTATTGGACCTAAAGCCTGCTTGAGACCGTAATATATTCCTTTGTGTGTCCGTTGCTATCTGTATCTGAGAGCAGAGCTGAAGCCAGTAATTGTTGGAGCATCTCCTGGCAGCCTGTTGGACTTGGCTACGAGCAGCTCAAAGAGCTTGCAAGTTGTACTCACTAGGACAGGCTTTGTATGCTACAAGAGCTCTCATCCTCGATGGCTGGCATCAACTCATCTGAATGGGCTTCAAACCAGTCTGCTGTCTTTTTTTGTCTTCTTGCCAAATGTGGATAAGGTGGTGTTATACACAGCGTTCTTGCATTGCCGGAGACAAGGGAATCCAAAGCAACTTATATTTCTGCTAAGGTTTGTTCATTGTCCAACTCTTCCAAGACAGGCAGGCACTTGATGTTATTTAGTGCCTCTTCAGTTACTACATTCTCTCTGGAATATAGCTCAGAGTAGTGCTGCACCCAGCGTTCCATCTGCTGTGCTCGGTCCTGGATGATCACGCCTATAGCAGACTTCAAGGAAGCAGATTTCTTCTGTATTGGACCTAAAGCCTGCTTGAGACCGTAATATATTCCTTTGTGTGTCTGTTGCTATCTGTATCTGAGAGCAGAGCTGAAGCCAGTAATTGTTGGAGCATCTCCTGGCAGCCTGTTGGACTTGGCTACGAGCAGCTCAAAGAGCTTGCAAGTTGTACTCACTAGGACAGGCTTTGTATGCTACAAGAGCTCTCATCCTCGATGGCTGGCATCAACTCATCTGAATGGGCTTCAAACCAGTCTGCTGTCTTTTTTTGTCTTCTTGCCAAATGTGGATAAGGTGGTGTTATACACAGCGTTCTTGAAATGTTCCCGTCGTTCAGGTGCATTTGCATCAGCCGGGCCTGGAAGGGTTTCTTCAAGCACTTGGGCAAGTTCTTCCACTTTTCTTTGATCTCAAGTCTTGCTGATGTCAATACGTGGTCTTCCTTCCTTTTTCGTGTGATACAATCTCTTTACTCACTATTTTACTCTACTACACACCAGGGAGTGATCAGTATTGCAATCAGCACTCTGGTAACTGCGTGTGATCGTGATACTAGGAAGGCTAGAACGTCTAGTGAGGATCAAATCGAGCTGATGCCAATGCTTCGATCTTGGATGTCTCCAGGAAACTGTGTTGAAGCTTCGTATTAAAGAACATATTGCTGACACAAAGACCATAATAATAGCAAAACTCCAGTAAGCATTGGCCATTTTTGTTCATCTTCCTAATTTCAAAACAGCCTAGACAAGTGGGCCAAGAATTGTGATCAGCACCAACTCTAGTGTTAAAGTTTCCAAGAATGAACTGTGGTTCTCTCTCGGGAATTTTTTTTGATAGTAGCTGCCAAATCGTCATAGAATTTGTCTGTGACTTCTGTTGTGGACAACAGTGTTGGTGCATATGCACTAATGAGGGTGACCAGTCCCACTGATGAGTGGAGCTGCAGAGACAGGATTCTTTCACTCCCTACAGGAGATGGAACAATGGATCTCAGCACAGTATTTCTGACTGTAAAGCCAACACCATGTTCCCTGGTCTCATTCAATGGTTTTCCCTGCCAGAAGAATGAGAAGTTTTTTCTTTGACAGATCTCATGTCTGGCAATCTTGTCTCTTGCAGGGCAACAATGTCCATCTGCAGTCTACTCAGTTTCATGTCGATGACAGCTGTCTTGCGCACGTTGTCTACAGTGGGGTCTTGACTTGAGAACTTAATCCGTATTGGAAGGCGGTTCTCAAGTCAAAAGGTTCTCAGGTCAAATTTGAATTTCCCATAGGAATGCATTGAAAACCATTTGATCCGTATCTGCTCTTTTCCGTCCATAGAAACTAATGGGAAGCTGCTATTCCGCCTTCGACCACTAGAGGGGGATATTTTGTTTCTTTTTTTCTTAGGTCAAGAAAGGTTCAGGGAAGGCAGGGAAAATACAGTCCAGGCAGTACCAGGCAGTCCGAAGACTGTCTCCCAATCCACTCTCTAAACGCTGGGAGGAGTGAGGAAGCAGACAGGCACCCTTTTCACTGGCCAACAGTTAACTGAAAGTTCAAATTTTGCACTTTCCCTGCCTCCCACGTGGTTTTTTTCAGTTCTTAACTCAAATCTAAGTATGTAAGTCAAGTCAATATTTCCCTATGAGAGTGGTTCTTAAGTCAAAATGTTCTTAACTCAAGCCGTTCTTAAGTCAAGACCCCACTGTATTTCCTTCAGGTTCTCAGAAAAGCCAGGAGTCATTGTCCGAACATTCCAGTGCCCTGCCTTTGAAAAACAAAATCACTAGTGTCACACAAGAGGGTCTTTTTAAAAAAGCAACAAGAACAGAACATTTATAGAGGCTAGATAGCAACTGTGATTGATTGCTCTCATATGTAGCAGAGATTAAGCATCTTAATTAGTATGATTATTAATTTGGAGGCAAACCAATATTTTGTGAGACACTTTACACCAAGCTAATCTAGTGGGTAGCTGTGTTAATCTATATCACAAGAGAAACCAGAGGTCTTGTAGCATCTTTAAGTCTTTTTAGCATCTTTAAGACTAACTGAAAGTGGCTTGGAGATACACAGGCTTATGAAAGATAAAAACTAGTCAGTCTTAAAAGTGTTACAAGGTTTCTCTTTTACACCAAACTGTTCATTTTCAAACACACTATAACTAAGCCTTCCAGTTCTGTGATGAAGAAAAGAGCAAGTGCCTCATCTTGAAATACCTTTCTGTAAGCTGAGGTCTACATTAAGATTTAGAGGTCAGACTACTCTGTCTAGTAGTCTTTAACTAGACCACTAAGGTGGGAGGAAAACCTATGAATTAACAGCATCCTAACATTGTGGACAATGTAGATGAGACACACAGAATTATAGAGGGGAGGGGCAAGAGGAAGGACGTAGGTGGCTCGTGGCTGGAGCAGGAGGACACTATCCAATTTGGAGGTGAGGTGCCTCTCTACTCAGTCCATGAGGTTCTCCCTTGGATCAAGATCATTGTTTTCCAGGTTCCACAGTTGTGTGGAAAACCAGTATGGGTAAAAAAGGCTTTCCTCTTCAGATTGACCATTTCTACAGCAACAGGGACTTTCCTTCTGTACGTGTCCTGATGAACCTTTTTTCTGAACAGCTGAATAGGACTTAAATCTTCAGAGCATGATGGATCCTGCTTGTCCCTGTTATAAATAGGAACAACTACAAAAGGTCAATACAGACCGTTGTAGCATGTCTCTTGGTCTGCTGCACAATCTCAGCGCCGGTATCTATCTCAGGTTTCTCCTCCCCCTCCCCTTGCTTTTTAAGCTACAGTACCTCCCACTAATGTGATACTCAACCCTTCACATGAGAGGCTCGGCCAGTGGATTGCAAGAAATACCTTTGAAGATGTAAGAGAAGCAAGAGAAGCAAGATGTAAATTATGTTGCTTAGTAGGTTTAACTTGATCATTGAATAGAAGAGAGAAGGTCTTGTGCAGAATTACTGGGCATAAGTTCCATTTTAATAAATGATGTTTACTTTGGCATATATAAAAATTAAGTGTAAATTCTTTCTCTCATTTCCATCTCCAAGGAGACTCAGTCCTAAACCATTGTTTGAAGTCAGTAATGAACTGGCTGAGGGTGAACTAACTGAAGGTTAATCCTGACAAGACAGATCTGTTCCTGGTCTGTTCCAAATGGTAGAATAGGAAATAAAGATCTGCACTTCATGGGGTTAAACGCCTCCTGGAAATTAAAGTTTTACAGTTTGAGTGTGTGCTCCCAGATTTATCCCTGGACTTGGATTTCCGTGTATGGCAGTCGCCCAGAGCATATTTGTACATCTAAAGCTACTGCACCAGTTGTGCCTGCTGTTAATGTGATCTGGCTATGACTGTCATGACACATGTTTTAGTTATGTTCTGCCTGGATTATTTCAATGTGCTATATGTGGGGCTACCACTGAAAAATGCTTGGAAGTTTCAGCTGATCCAGACTAGGGAGTCCATAACTACTTTGGTACACCAGCCCTTCTGGCTACTGGTCAGAGCCAACTCAAAGTGCTTCTTTTGACTATCAATATCTGTAAGACTTTAGGCCAGGTTGTGTCACGGATCACATTTCCCCTATGATCCATCCCAGGTTTTAAGATCTTTTGGGAAGGCTCTTCTTGTGGTTCTGCCATGCTTAACAGGGGTCTGCAGTGAGGAGACATGAGAATGTCTTTGAGTCAACTACTCCTGGGTTATGGAACCTGCTTCCCTGGATGCCTAAGTCCTTTTCCTATCCTTCAGGCAGCAGGTAAAATGCTTTGAAGACAGGCTTCTGCTATTGAATGGACTGCTAAGAAAGAATATCCCAATGGGGGTTTTGCACATTTTACTTATTTTTTTACTAAATTAGAGGGTTTTTTAACATTGCTTCATTATTTTGCACATTTTACTTATTTGTTCATGGTGTTCATAACCCTTTTTGAATTAGAGGGTTTTTTAACATTGCTTCATTATTAATTGCACTGTAATACTCTAATTTATTTTCTTTTTAGTTATTTTTGTTTCTTAGTCATTTTATTGGGCATATTGACATGTGTTGGAAGAAACCTGTGACAGGAGTGAAATGAATGCATACACGTATATGAGTAAATAGGATTGGACTGCAAACTGTGCTTGAAATGATTGTTTTTGAGGTAAATGCTAGAAACATTCCAGGTTACAAAAGAACCAAGGAACTATGGGAGAAAAAGAGAAAACATTCTTTTGTGCTCATTTCTTTGGCTCCAAATACATTTTTTAAAAATTAAGAACAGGAGGTTCTTATTAAAGCAATAGCTTTATTGTATGTCTTAAAAATTGAAATCATGTGGTGACTTTGGGCTACTTGAAACATTTTGAAAGACTTGGCTGAACTCAGTTCCAACAGCCTGCTCTTGAGAAGCTTTTTCTTTTTGTCGCCCTGAGGCACTGTACTAGGTCAACATTGTTTGTTTACATTACAGTAAGTGTGACACATTTTCCCTACAGGTTACGGCATTATGACAGACGGTTACACAACGTACATTAATGCCTCAACATGTACAGTCAGCTTTCAGCCAACCAACCCACCAATTATATTTGACCTGCCAACCCCACAAGGATCATGAAGCACTACTGCATCGGGGAAGGTCTATAAACTGCCATTTTTCTAATTAAAAAACATTCATTCTCTCAACATGTTTCTTTATAAATACTGTGGGGCTTTTTTTGTAAATTGTTGGTACAAAAGGAAAAAAAGATAAAGGTTGTGCTTTTTTTTGAACTGCAGCATCCATTTGAAATTGATAAAGCATTGTGAATTTGTAAAATGAAGTTTTATGTTTTAATTATCTTGCCATTGTAAATTGTCAAGTGTTCTCAGAAGGACAGCCAAGCTTTCTTTTAATGAGTGAGACACCTTATTTTAATATTATTAAATAAGATTTAAAACACAGTGTTCTAAAAAAATTAAACACCCCAATTTGCACAACTGTTATTGTTTGATTTTTTTTAAAAAAATTCCGAAAGATGAAACGCTACCCTCTCCCTTTCTCTTAGTTTTATTCTCGTGTGTATGCATTCTGACCCAGAGTTCCATGCATGTTTCTAAGCATGCGTGGGCCACAGTCCAGCACAAAGTTAGGTATGCTTAAGTCTATTGAAATACGTGGGATTAAGCATGCTTCACTGTGTCATGGAACAAGGTGATGGAGCTGTAAAACAGAATGAGGAGTCCTTATTCATTTCAGTAGATGCTGATTGACGCTTCGAAGACTGGAAGCCAAAAAAACTCTTAGATCCATCAGAGTTCCTGTACCTGCTACAGATTGTTAGATGAGGGTAGTCTGTGCGCTAGTGTGAGGAAGTTCACCATGTCACTTCAGAGGGAGACAGCCTCCCAGACTGAGGGCTACCCCCATTACTGGTATGCATACTGTAAACTCTTGCCTATTGACAGTAATGCATCAGTGAGGAGGAAATAGCCTTCTAAGGGTAGTTTGTCTCTGCCTGCTTTAATTATCAATTAGATAGCAGAAACTTGTATGTGATCATCTAAATTGTCACTGTTTGGGTTGAGTTTCTTAAATTATTTTAGCTTTAAAAATATGGCGATTAAAACTGCAATGAGCAGGTGTTCCATGCAGTAAAAACCATGTAAATGCAGACTCCTTTAAAATATGAATTTTATATATTTTTTGTGCATTATAACTGGGGCATTTAATATTGCCAGTGTAGCATCTGCAAAATTATGCTGTACAGCACATCTAAATTATGAAGGATGTGACACCTTTCCCCCCCAAGTGCTCAAGGAGCTCAAGTTTAAAATCTTTGTGCAGTTTTAGGCATGTATAGAATAAAATGAATACAATCAAGCCTAACTAAAATAAGGCTTTGTTGTCCTTTATATTTAAAATATTCTTGAATTGTCTTTCCATCTCTTTCCCCCCCTTTTTTGCACTGTGTGTAAATGCAATCTTGCTAGCACAAAATATTGTTGCAAATAGTTACTTCTGTTCTACCACTGTAAATGCTATTGAGCTTTATACTGTTTCATGTTATCTCCATTGAATTTAGGAAAGCAGTTGTTTCTTTAAATTTATTGCGATATTATATATCTAGCGGCCTTTATATGCAAATAAAATTGCAAGATTTTTAAATACTTCCAGTTTGGGCAGTCTTTTTTTATACTTTAGAAAGCTTTTTTATGCTTAGAGGCAACAAACTGTTTATCACAGCATTTTTACCACAGTATGCAAAACTGTAAAAGCAAAGCAAAGCATGCTGTACCCCAGTTAAATGTACTAGAATTTCTCTCTTAAGTCTGCTGTTGTGCTTCAGCCTCAGGCTCTGTGTGTATACATGGAGGATGCACCAGGCACAGTTCCGGAGCCCCATATGTTGTGCAGAGCAAAATTCAGCTTAAAACACTAGAATCCTGCCACTCAATTGTTCCGGAAGAAGCAAGAGCTAGATTCAATTTCCACTCTGTCTTCCAGACTAAACCTCTGATTCAGAGGAAACTGCTTGAGTGCAGCCCATCATGAGATATATTGGATTGGAGCCACTGTGTATACTGCACTGCACTGCACTGCACTGGTCTTCTGCCCCGTTTATCCCACATAATCATGAATCTCCTCTCTCGAGTAAGCTTGTCTGACTCAGTCTTTTCAGTTTACATCTTACAGTAGGCTTCTAAGGTAGCATGAAGATGGCTTCAATTAGTTGCTGTAGCAATGTGTATATTATGATGGCCTTTTATACCGTATTGTTTTAAATTATTTTATTAATTTTTATATTACTGGTATGGAGAAGGAGAGAAGCAGAATGAATCGATAAATACATTGATCTTTCAACCTTTGTTTTTTCAGTTCTCTCTCCTAAATGTACCCTCTCTGTAGCCATGTTTAACTGGGCTCTGGTCATTTATGAAACATCAAATATTTCAATCTTTTAGTGATCCCATTTAACACCAACAATCAGCTATTCCTATTCCTGCAAAAGATGTATAGTCAAGTTTGAGTTTTATTGGCTTAGTATATTTTCATTGGAATACAGTGGTGCCTCACTTTACGATTGCCCCGTTTAATGATGAAACCGCATTACGATGAATTTTTTGCGATCGCAAAATGATGTTTCCTATGGGGGAGTTTTGCTTTGTGATGATTAGTTCCCTGCTTTGGGAACCAATTCTTCGCAAAACGACAATTTTCCAACAGCTGATCAGCAATTTCAAAATGGCCACCGGGTAAACAAAATGGCCCCTCGCTGTTTTCTGGGACGGATTCCTCACTGCACAGGCAGCGAAAATGGCCGCCCTATGGAGGATCTTCTCTGGACGGTGAGTTTACAGCCCTTTGGAAAGCATTAAACAGGTTTTAATATGTTTCAACGGGTTTTTTCTTTTTGCATTACCACGTTTTCGTTCTACAGTGATTTCGCTGGAACGAATTAACGTAATGCGAGGCACCACTGTAATGAAGACTGATATCCTTCTGCATTGTACAAGTTCAATACACTGATTTATGCAGTCATTTATCTAAAAATGGCACATTGCTTTATTAGAAACTTCTCGTCTGAAAATAACTTGTGTAACATGATTCAGGTGAGTAATGTGTTGCTTATTTACTGACAGAGCTTTTGATTCTCATATGTCAAATTTTCTGGGTTTTGCATTGAATACCTCTCAGCTTTTTCATGATAACCTCACAAAAACTGCTGGTCACAGGCACAAGTATTGCTGGGTTCCACCGATTTCAAGAGGAGAAATTTAAGACTGTTTTCAAAAGGCAGTAGAGCAGTGTAATTAGTCATCCTCCTCCTTCTAATGTACATAGATATCATCCATCCAGTTTTGTTTGTTTGTTTTCTACTTAGGAGCCTGAGCCAACCACAGTGAAATGCACCTTAATACCACTTCGGTGGAAGAGATTAAACTACATACTTCACTTGATCATTGAAATCAGTGGGCGAAAAGAAGGCTGAACTTGGCCCCATTTCACCTATTCAGCCAGTGTAAAACTAGTGATGTGTTGGGGAGTAAATCCTTTCCAGTGTAAATCAAGATGGCCAGCAATTGCTGGGGTGGGGGTGAGGAATCTAGATCTCATGTAACCAGGCATTCACATGGAGGGCCGTGTTTCCACCAGAAATTGGGTGGGGATATTGCCTTTCTACCATGCTACTTCAGTGCTACTGAATAAAATGCCATGTATTTTGCTTTGCTCAGTGATTGGATTGCTCAAGAAAATCTATTTTCTGAGAAGCAGAGGTGCTGTCAGAGGGGTTTGTTTCAGACCTCCTTGGTCTAAATTGTGTTTTTATCTGTCCTTCCTTTAAGATGTAGAAGAGGGTCCCATACGCACGAACCAATGGCTGGGAGAAGGAGCTACCAGTCCTCAGTCTTTTCAAGTGATTGATTAACCGCACTGTAGTTGATTAACCTTTCTACTCTGAGAGAGCAGCTTTCATCTAGTCATCTTGAAAAGGTTGAAAGCAGTCAAGGCCTTTATCCAATGAGGGTTGCAAAACAGGATGCTCCACTAAGGTGATTGGTTCCCAGGTCTCTTAGTCTAGTGAATTCAACAGACCTAGAGGTCAAGCATTTATTAGAGCAAGAGACTTTCAGATCAATCTGATCTACTTCCAGGCAAATTCTACTAGGAATATGCCAAAACAGTGTCTGAAAGTCAGATTGATGACATAACTAAAGCCTGGTTGTAGCTAATTGCCTTACATTTTAAATTACCAAGGCTTAAGGAACATTTATCATTACACAATACATTACTGAAGTAAACACTACAATAAGTGAATGCTGATGGGTAAAATCTGGAGACATTCCATTCAGAGAACAAGTCCTCAAATCACTTCTGAGTATCAGCTGCTTTTCAAGTCTTTTATTATTTTAAATTTTTCATTGCAGTATATGGTGAACCTAAGGTAACATCCTTTCCATTAGCTTAATAGTGCACAATGCAATCCGCACATCCCAATTCTGTTTGAATAATTTTTACATGCCCAGTAGGGCTACTTGAGATAAGAAGAAATGTTTCTTAAAACACAGGTCTCTTTTCCTCTGATGTTAGCCTACTATTGTTTCCTTTTAGTTACAGAAACATTTGAAAATGTTCCTGTATAATAAAGAATGCAAGACAGAGTTGTAAACCTTTGTCCCAATTCTCTCATGAGGCTTCAGGCTTAATATGCATTCGGACTCCATGTCTATAATATTAGCTCTCCTGTGCACAATCCCTTCTTATTTATGTTCACCTGTGATTCAATTAAAAACCTATTAAAGATTCCATTATGATTCAGTCTTGACAAGCTCTGGAACCATTAACCTTTGCCTTAGGCCAATCTGTAGGTTGGGCTTTTTAAAAAAGAGCTGAAAACATTTGAATTCAATTGCAGTATTCTTACGCTTTATCTAAATTGTCTTCAAGTTTGACAGTTCAATACCTAACTGTTGTTGCTGTTATGTACCATCAAGTCACCTCTGACTTAAGGCAACCTAAGAATGAATTATCTCCAGAATGGCCTGTCCTTAAAAGCCCTACTCAGCTCTTACAAACACAAGAGTATGATTGTTGTGGGTTTTTCGGGCTCTTTGGTGTGTTCTGAAGGTTGTTCTTCCTCATGTTTCGCCAGTCTCTGTGGCCAGCATCTTCAGAGGACAGGAGTAGCACTCTGTGCTCAAGAGTATGACTTCCATTTTAGAGTCAATGCATCTCATATTTGGTCTTCTTTTCCTGATGTTGATGCTTTCAACTTTTTGTAGCATTATTGTTTTTTCCATCCCTTATGATATGCTTTAAGTACAGAATGAGCTTTGTCATTTTTGCCTCCAAATATAGTTCAAGTTTGATTTGATCTTTTCTGGCAGTCCAGGGTAGAGACAAAGCTCTCCTCTAGCACCACATTTCAACCAAATTTCCCCCCCGTCAGTTTTTGCTGTTTACATCCATACATGACAATCAAGAATACATAGTG